ACAAGTCATATTGTTTTCTACAAGATAGAAGCTTTCTAATTCTAATATCAGTTTCAAAAGGCAAGATTTGTAGTGGTTTCAGTACTGCTCGCCTCTCACCGCTGTAGTCTAGGTTCGAGCCCCGCGGTTCGGGCTGGATCAGTCATATGTGAGTTGAGTTTGTTTGTTGTGTTGTAAATATACAGTCAATTCAAAAAATGTCGTCGACGACTCGAGCCTATACGTGACTAAACCTAAAGGGAGTATGGTTGAATATTAATAAAGCGATAAAATATGCATTGTCAATTGTTCCCGGTTACTGATACAATATTAACAAACATTAACGATTGATGAGAAAAACACAATAGAAATCATGACCGCGAAGAGTTTTATCATTCTGATACAGAATCATATTCATTTGCATAAACTTTAACTTGGATTTTCTTGGCCAGATTCACTTTTGATTAAGAAAATAATCGCAAGATTCACTTTTATTTTGAAAATTTTAGTGAAAGGAGCAATTATAGAATAAAGCCCGCAAATGATATTCAGTTGTCGGAACTCTTTCTAGAACGACGCATACAACAATAGAAGTCATGGTCATTGAGTATGTGCATATGGAGTTCACGGGGTGTACGTTGTCACAGGACGAAAATTAAGCTTTAAGTGCACTGTTATAAGGTGCAGATGAACCCTTCCACAATACTTTCAGGTTTATACTTCCAATATGCTAATAAGGCTTAATTAAATATACAAAATTGAACTGGTTCATATACACAACGTATAAACCTTCATAACTTAGAAACGCATCACTCAAATCAAGAAATATTTTACCAATCAACTATTTGCTTTAAGCAGAACCAGTACTGAAAGTATTGTCGAAGGGTTCATGTGCACTTTAAAGTCATACTAATGAAGCATTTCGTAAAACTTTAAGCCTCATCTTAAATTCCTTATGTGTAGCTTTAATTAAGGCTTAACGGCGTTTAAGTTCATCTGGAAAAGACATTGTTGGGTATGGTTTAGCTCCAAACACATTGTGTCCTGCAGCACAAAGAAAGAGCCAAATAAAAGCCTAGAGCAAGTGTTGGTTATGAAGCATGTGTAGAATCATTACTTTGGATAATTAAGTATTATGAAATCATTTGAAAACAACAAATCCGAGTCCTTGATATTATGGGTACGCAATTTCTCTTACTTTTCAACTAAATAGTTGATAACTTATACTTTTAAGCGCTGTACCGTGGCCTATTGCCGGTTTTCACATGACGTCATCAAAACATGAAAATCTAAACTATAGATCGTATAAAGACATTTCTAAAGTATGTTTTAGAAGTCAGTTTTATAAGTCACAAGAAAAAATCTCGAGTCATTTCGATGTTTGGTTCCCGAGTTATGAAGGTTGAGTTTGTTTCACACAATACCGTCACGTCTATCGAAATGCTTTACAACCTTAAAATCTGGCCAGTATATGTAGTTTGGACCGCTTTACAAGAATATATAACTTTTATTTCATTATAATGCGAATTTACGYTTTTGAAATTCATGATGACGTAGGTGAAAACCAAGAATAATGGTTTCAGGCGTGCACTCTACTTATATTAAGACCTCTAAATAGATTATCTAAAATATTAAAAATCTATTAATGCTATTCTTACCCCTGTATTTAATTTCGTCAGTTGGTGAAGTTTTGGCGAAAATAGCTATCAAAACGCAAAGTAAGCCGGGACGTGGAAGGCACTTTACATTTGCGATGCTAAAGCACAGCTTATTACGACTTTGATAGGCACCTTGCATAAATAAAGCAACTTCTTATACTTCACTGCTCTTGAGAGCTATATATTGAGCTTGAGTGCCCGTGAATTTAAGAGGCAATGTCTGTATAAATACCACCTAATCGAAAATCCGTGTCACGTTAAAAAAATCCACCCAAATATAAACGTACTGATGTTCATTTTGAATAATTTCACTTTTATTTTGAGAAAATCGTGAAAATCGATTTTGGCCGTCGACGCCCTCACTTCAGCCTAAATCCGAGGTGAAAAAGGTAGGTCTTAGAAAGGCGTTTGAGTTTTACAAACATTGCCTTATTTTGCATAAGAAAAGACGGCCTATTATTTTGTCCCCCATGCAGAACAATTCCTTTGTGACTCAGTGCAAGGGCTTATTGCTTAACAAATAGATTGGAATTAACATGAAATGAAAATATGGATTATCATATGCTGAATCTGACTGTATACCGCTAAAACGGACAGACCCTCTCATCTATTATCACCAATTCCTATGTTTGGAATACTATGGAGCCCAAAACGCGGAGGAACCCCAGAGAAGACGCTGGATTCTTTTCTCTGTTACTGTTTTGGTGGATGAAAGATCTTCTTCAAATTGGAAAGCATCGTTCTTTGAAGGATGAAGATTTATATGAACTGTCGTATAGAGACAAGGCAGAAGAAATAGCAGAGCAAATCGATGATGTGTGGGAACAAGAAATGATGGATGCCCGGAAACACGGCCAACGTCCGAAACTATGGAGAGCTGTAATCAAGATGTTTTCTTTACAACAATATAGTTTCATTCTTGTACTGAAATTCACCAAAGTTGCAATGGACTTTCTTTTGGCCTTGCTGTTGTGGGCATTTCTTCATATTCTTAAAGAAGACTCTCGTTTTCACAGAAAATATGCTATTTTTACTATCGTTAGCATAAGTGCCGCAAGTCTCCTGAGGGTTTTCAGCCATCATCACTATGAATATCAAACCAAGGTCATGGGAATGCGCTTGAAAGTAGCATTAGTTGAAAGCGTGCAAAAAAAAGTAAGTCAAACATTTCAGTTAGGATATAATTTCAGTATTAGAGTGAAATCACTAATAATATCATAGAGTGCATGCCATATATTCGTGAAAAACCAGTGTAAGAAATTGCGCAAATTTGCACAAATTCTGAGTAAGTTCAGTAGACCATAGACCAATAAAACTTTGCACTAATTCTTCGATTGTACGTTTACGTCACCGCGGCCATTTCGGTACATCTAACAAAATACTTCTCATTAGCATTCATTGTTAACGGTACCACAATGACCGCCATGTTTTTGTCTTTTAACTCTATTGGGAATGCTTGCAACCCATCAATTTGTACAATTTTGTTGGTTAGATTTTTTACGGATTAATGGTATGCACTCTAGTCCTATWAATAATTATTAATATTTTAATCAAAAATAAATCTAAAAAAAGGTAAAATTCTCGCCGCGAAAAATACGAACTATTGGTAAGCCAATAGTTTAATTACTAAGGAAACTAGGATCATATACTATATGCTTCTATTATCTAAATTGTTGGGAAAAAGGAATATGTCGATTTAATTCTAAAAAAAGCTCCAATAAAACACATTCACGATTATTGATTATCTATTCTTGACTTATATACAACATGGGTCCGCCATCTTTGTCCTATTGAGGGCCACAAATCACAAAAGTTGAAAACAGTGGCGGATCCAGGATTTTTCAAAGGGGGGTTCCGTTTCTTAAACTGTGTATAATTCTCTTTTGTTTAGTCGATGTTTGACAAAAAAATTGGCTCTAATCACCTAATTTACTATCTAGTAACGGAACTTAAAGGTAAATTAAACATTATAACAGCAAATATCTATCATTTCGTGTTCAACATTAACTTTGTGGATACTTTATTACCTAGAAAAGATCAAACCTTCGAGGGGGGTTCCGTGGACCCCTTCGATCATGTTTTTATTGCACCCACTTTAATATTTTAATAACAATAGTTATCGAAATAAAGTTAACAATCATCTACTAAGATAAAAATATATTATTCTAATCGAATTTTCATATTTCTAATGCTTTGAAAATGCGTGACAATGATTGCGTTACAGAATTTGACTCGTAATAAATCGAAAACCAAACATTTAAAATGCAAAATTATATAATTTGGTAAAGCTTTTCTTTTAAAGGCGTAAACCACAAAAAGTTAGACAAACAGTTTTTTGGAGTGAATACTTTGGATTTTGTTTTTTTCATGAGTGAAAGCCAAGAATTTCTGCGACGTCGCATTCAACATCGCAACTTGTGACAGCCCCCAAATAAACATACAGGTTTCTTTTATGCAACATTGCAGGCTGATATCACATTGTGTTTCCTTACATAAGGAGCTTTTTAACTAGCCCACTTTGCAGCTGCTAAGTTGTGTTATTTCATACGTTTTCTTAGATTCTTGATACTAGACGTCACGCATGTGCCACTCAAGGTCACGTTCAGAATCTGGTTTCGAACGACGTTCAGAGAATGGAAGACTTGATCATGATGGTGTCCCGGATGATCGTAGCACCCTTCACAATCATGGCCTCATTTGCTTTCTTGTGGGCTCTAAATGGTTGGCAGTCGTTCACTGGTGCCTGTTTCATCATGGTTTCTATGATGACAAGCATCATGATGGCGAGAAAATTTAAAACGTTACGTAAAGCTCAGTCGATAGTCACCGACAAGCGGCTGTCAGTCTTGTATGACATCATCTCGGGTATACGAACAGTCAAGATACATGCTTGGGAAGACAAGTTCATGGAAACGGTTCGACGTTTGAGGAGGTTAGTTCTTCGAGTTTTTACTCTCGTATACCGAGAAGTCGTCGGCCAAGGATCAATATTAATAAATTGTAGGGCGGTATTGCTTTGGCCAAAAGCCAGCTAGTCTAGACGTTGGTCCATCTTTGACCGCTCTGCTTTTTGGGCTACCTGTGCTTGGAGCGGTCGAAGAAGCGGCCACCGTCTGGGCTGACAAGAACCTACCAGCCGACATTGGACCACAGAAGTAGGCTAACCTCCGCGACATTCTTACAAATTCAAGCTCTAACTTTATTGTTTTTGTTTTTTTTACTTTAATTTCAGAAAAGAAATGGGATTAATTCGTCTGAGGAATGTTTTTTACGCAGTAAATACTTCAATGAAAGGAAACGTCGCTGTCATAGCAACGCTCATCTCCATATTAACCCTTATATACTCAGGAAAACAAATGATATCCCAAGACGTATTTTCCATGTCTTACATATTTGTAATCTTCGAGATGTGCCTTCTTGTTGATGTTGATAATTCGTTTCGATATTTTCTGGACGCGAATGTTTCTTTGACCAGAATTGAACAGTTTTTGTGCACATCGGATCCCTCGACGGACTACAGTGACTTAGAACAAGGCTACAATAACATCGATGGCTTTCACTTTAGGAAGCATAACTCGATAGTATTCACTAACGTTTCTGCTGCTTGGAGCAAAGAACAGCAAAACGTACTTAGTGACATTGACCTTGACTTGAAGGCCAATGAACTAGTCATAGTCACGGGCCCAGTTGGTAGTGGTAAGTCTTCACTGTTGATGGCCATCCAGAGGGAAATTCCGCTAACGTCTGGGGAAACTTCATGCTACGGTACTATGGCTTACGCGTCGCAAATCCCATGGATTTTCTCTGGGACCATTCGTGAGAACATCATCTTTGGCAAGACATTTAATGAGGCAAAATATCGGAGCATCCTAGATATATGTGATCTTACAAAAGACATCAAACAATTCCCCAAAGGAGACCTTAGTACGGTAGGACAGCGGGGAATTGCTTTTAGTGGTGGTCAGCGGGCACGTGTAGGTCTGGCACGCTCAGTGTACTCGGATGCTGACATCCTCTTGATGGACGACCCCTTGAGTGCCGTAGATGCGAAGGTCGGACAGCATATCTTTGATGAGTGCATTTGTAAAGAACTTTCGGGTCGCCTTCGAGTACTAGTCACACATCACCTGAAATACCTTCAATCTGCTGACAAGATTGTAGTGCTACAAAAAGGTCATATTGAGGCTCAAGGATCATACGAAGATTTAAAGGAAAAGCTATTGTGGACCAGCGAAACAATGGCAACAGTGGGAAGCGAAACAATGGCAACAGTGGGAGAGCAGGAAGCTGAATCTGCAATAATAACTGGAACAGGGCCAAGAGAAATGCGTGGTAGCAATGAGAGCTTGAGTGATTTAACCGAAAAAGATGAAGAAAGACTCCTTGGTCAAGTTACGTATAAGCTGTACTGGTCTTTCTTCAGGACAGGCTCTGCTGGCATGGCTATTATCTGCTTTATGCTGCTATACTTATCCTCAAAAGGTACGACTATTACATACGAGCTTCAAAACTCCCACATCTAGGTCTCTGGGTATTGGCTTGCGTCACTCAAAAAACTCCGATGAGCTTATTGTAAATTTGAAGGATGACAGACAAGACATGAGAGAACTTGCCGCATCTGATCATGAGGTGGTTTTTTTAAATGATTTTTGTTTAACAGTTGATTTCATTTCTGTGTTGCCAGGACTTGACTTGACTCCAACTTGGTACCTTTCACAATTGGTACACATGCCCCTTCATCAGCAAAAGAGCGCCGTTACTCTCGGCACCTATGGTGGACTGGTCCTTGGCGCATTGTTCCTTAGCAGTATCTGYGAAAGTTTTCTCTACAGCTATTTTCAAAGATCATCACGAAAACTCCATGCGAAAATGACAGAGGCAGTCATTAAGTCTCCGGTGCTTTTCTTTGATAGGAATCCAGTTGGGCGCATTTTAAACAAGTTTTCCAAAGACATCGGAAGCGTAGATGACCTACTTCCCAAACTGTTTGACAGCGCAGCATATTTCACGATAAAAACCATTGGCGTTCTTATCCTTACGTCTATCTCCAGTTATTGGTTCATTATAGCCTTTATACCTATTTTGGTGCTATTCTATTATGCCTGTTGTTACTATGCCAGGACCTCTCGAGAGCTGAAGAGGATGGAGGCGATTCGAAGCAGTCCAGTTTACGCTCACATCTCCGAAACCATGAGAGGACTTGAAGTCATTCGAACATCGCAAAACGAACTGGTGTTTCGAAATCGCATGCTAAGGTAAGCACATCGTGTTATGCTTGTTATATAATGTTTACGAAAAATAAAATATCAAAGACGCGACCGCAATGTTGGTATTTAAAACAAAAACATTTAGCCATAAATATTTGGAATACCAATCGGTTCAATACACATCGGTTCAATACACTTTAAATGACGGGAAGTAAGGGGGAACCTAATGATTGGGACAAGTCTCTCGTTTCTTCCCCAGGGTACATTGAAAACATTGCGTCATTGCAAGCAGCAAGGTCACCTACCTTCATGAAAACGACATCTTGACATTCAGTCGACGAAGCCATTTTAGAGCTTCTTATTTTTGTTCAATGATTCCCATGATTTTTCTAATGTGCGCATGCAGCAATGCCTTTCAGTTGCGCAGAAGACTCTTCTCCTATATCCTTTCTTGACTCAGTTCTTTTTGTTTGTTTTCTTAGGCTACTGGATGAACACACGAAAGCATTTTTTCTTGTCATATCTACCTCCAACTGGTTTACACAAAGCATAGACCTCATTGGCTTCTTGATTGTGACTGCTACGGGAATTATTGGTTATTTGGCAATTCATGATGAAGGTAATTAAAGGTYTTTGTCCCCCGTATTCATATATGATTTGTGAAGTATATTGTACTCTCAGTTCGGTATTAGACTGACGTAGGGAATTTAAGGGACGAGGAGGGGTGAGGCGAACGTTCCTTAAAGTTCAGGTTTACATTTTAGCGTTAATGTTTTTGCAAAATCTTAGTTAGAATGTTATATTGCTTTATGTCGGAATTACAGAAATGGATCTTTCACTAGCCCTCTAAATGTTCCTTTCGTGACTCATGTTCTTGGTCTTCCTGTGCTTGGCGGGAATTTTACCACCAAAAACGCACGCGTTCACCTGAAGCGATTCCCCGTGTCCGACTCCCCGTTCCCCTATCTTTTTGGTGAACATGCCTGAACACAAGGATGAGGTTAATGCCAATTTTCTTCGACACACTGCTTCGGCTCTCCTTTGTGAATTTCCTGGATAATTGCCCTATTTCATAATGACGTCACGGTTTGTTTACATCGGCTAAAATGATAGAAAATTAGGATAAATTTAAGTTTAATTCTCTTCTTTAGAGATATTTAGCGTAATATTTAGTTGTTCTTGCCTTCACCAGCTCATAAACCAAATTTCATTGTGATTTAAGATGTGTTGTTGTCATTCCATTCCCCTCCAGCGACCATGATCCCTAGCGTTAATACAATAGTTTGTTTTGATGTGACGTCATTATGAAATAGAGCAATTCCATGTGCAATAGACCATGTCTAATATATTCTTTGGAAATTGCTCACAACCTGTGGAATTTTCAAGTGTTTCAACTGTTCGTTGATGTGTAAATTCCTTTCATTACTGGGGACTGTAGTCAAATTCTAAAGAATAATTACACGCTGACAAGGCTGAGGTTGAGTAACGGGATCCGTGAAATGGCCTATTATTTGTTGGCCACTAGCAGGTATATACCATTTAACAACTAGATATAAAGATTAGTTCTGTAAATTCTTCTATTACAGCTGTCATTGGTATGTTGATCACCCTAACATTCACCATCCTCGGCAGTATCCAGTTTGGGTTGCTAATGGCAACCGAAGTAGAAAACCAAATGATCTCAGCCGAGCGAGTGATGACGTACACTAATTTACCCCCAGAACCAGGCTATAGCAGACAGAAATTACCGCCAGAGAATTGGCCCAACCTGGGGATAATAAATTTTCGGGATGTTTCTCTGCAGTACATAGAGAATGGAGTCAAGGTTCTTAAGGAGATTGATTTATTAGTAAAACCTAATGAAAAAGTTGGTATTGTTGGGCGCACAGGAGCCGGTAAGTCGTCACTGGTATCCGCCTTAATGTGCATGCCTGAGCCTCATGGGAAGATCCTTATTGACGGTGTAGATTTGGGTACCATTAATATCCAGGCTGCTCGGAAAACAATAGCCGTGATATCCCAGGACCCTGTGCTCTTTGAAGGAACCCTAAGGCGAAACCTAGATCCATTTAACCTATTTGCAGAGCCAGACATTTGGAAAGCGCTTGAAGAAGTACAGCTTAAAAGCAAGGTCGAAATAATACCTAACCAACTGAATTTTTCTATCGGAGAGTTTGGGTCTGGTTTTAGTGTAGGTGAGAGACAGTTACTTTGTCTTGCAAGAGCTTTACTACAAAACTGTAAGATCCTTGTGATGGATGAAGCAACGGCGAATGTAGACTTCAAGACAGATCAATTAATTCAACAAGTCATACGATATAAGTTTACAAATTGTACAGTACTGACCATAGCACATCGCATAAACACCATTATGGATTACGATACCGTTATCGTCATGGACAATGGTCTAGTGGTTGATCATGATACCCCTGCGGTGCTTGCTGGGAAGCCTGAGGGTATCTTTCGTAGTCTTCTACAAACTCAAAGAGTTACTTAATTACAAAGCGCCGGCCTTTTATTAGAACGCAAACATTTTTCCTTTGTCAGACAAACTCAATGTAAGTTATCATGACATGTGAATAACCGTCCAATGTGTTAAAAAAAGTAGTAAGGCTGTCAAACAACACAATCAAAAAAATACACATGCAAGTACGGATACTTGTTATCAATGGAACCAATAACACTTTAGATTACCCCATTTATAACAAACGTTCTGATTGGATAATATATGATTCCTTGCTTTTCGATTGGTTTAGAATGGAACGCATTAGAAAGTCATAAAACTAATTGTTAGTAGACATAATTAATAGTTTTTAGATACTTCAGTTATATATGACAACCAATTAGAAATGCTTAAATGTTATTGATTATTTATGATAATCATCTTTTTATTACACTCATCAATCTTTATATTTTTACGATCTGTCTTGAAAATCAGTTACTTCTAGATTAAATACATGTTGTAATGAGCTACATTTTACTTTACCATATACCAACTTGTGTACTTCCTAAGAACGCGCGCGCTCATTGGTTAATTGGAGGTGAATATTGTACGATATTCACCTCTGAATCTCGGAATATTGAGTCGGCAACAAAATGGCATCTGCTGGGAATCGTTTTGCTACTATTTCCGATGAGGAAATTGAAAAATTTAAAGTAAATGCCATTCCAATCGATACTAAAAAGGCAACGAAGTATGGCCTAAAAGTTTTGCTAAAATTTATGCGTGAATTTGTCATGCAAACTAAAAGTTTCTGTTTGTTTGTTTTTATTGAATTATTGTATATAAAAATAAGTTACTCTGTACACAAGTTGGTATGCTAAAACAATTATTCGCCTCAGGCTCAGTGAATATGGAGAATATTTACCACGCCGCTCGAAGACTCGCGTCTCGGTTAAATATTTACATTTCTATTCCATGATGACCATTCAAATTAAGTAGAATTTAAAGTCAGGAAGAGCATGTATACATATAATAGCGTATATGTTTTTTTGTACTGCCAGGGTTTCTTTACGTCCTCAGTGGTTCTTTTTCCTCCCTATTATATTGGTTAGTTAATATAAAGTGGATACCCGGGGGGTCTTCAGCTGTTTCTCCAGAGGGAAGAGGTAAAAGAGAGAGCTACAGCTGTTTCTAAAACGTTTACTGCTAATCCCCAGCTTTCCCACCCCCCAATACAAACGTACCTTACTTTGAGAGGCAAGTGCGCTCCCCCCTTGCATGCCTTTCCAATCATCATAGCTAAATGATATTCTGTACTAGTTTGTATACTCCTATTGCTACAACAAAGGACACGGCTGCCATGTTGTTTGATGACAAAGGAATTCATTGACAAATCTTTTGTTAAATTCAACCAAGATGGCGGTTACGACGTCATGCGCAAACAAAGAATTCATAGCGCCGAGGTTCGAGTGGAACTAGTGCGCAAACTGTCGCGGTTTTTTTTGCGTCGCTGGCGACATCTTTTGAACAGATCGCCCACGGCGCTACGGAAATCATGCTTACCGAATCCATAGAAACACGGGTTCAAGAAAGACGTAATAAAACGCAAATACGCAATAATGTGTAAGACGTACACGGGAATACGATCTAAAGTGCCGTTGATATTCAACTCCAATCTCAAAGCAGCATTAGGCAACAAACAGAAGACATACGCCAATAGCATCAATACGAACATGGAAACAGTTCTAAGCTCRMRCGTCSRKAKTYKYTYRWCYCCMCTTTCCAYYAASCTATTGTGCTGACGYGYTWWKCTGTTTTGTCGAAGAATTTGTACAAAGATACGGCAATATGCCAATACCATGAACGGTACTGGGATTACTCCCAATATCACGAACATGATAGTGTAGACAAGKTCCTTCTTCYGGTAGWCTTCGTCKGGTATRTCGTTGAGACTTTCTTCACTAGAGACTGTCCAGRACAACTGGATGACGGTCATGAATGAACAATACAACCAAATTGTGGCAGTCGCCAGCTGAACTCGTTTCTTAGTCACCAATTCTTGGTATCGAAGTGACTTCAAGATGGCGATGTAACGATCAGCTGTGATGGCAGCGATGTGGCAGATAGTTGATAAAGTGGTGAAGACAAAAAACTGATTACTTGCAGTACAGATCTCTTTTTTTTCAGTAGCGTTACAGCTTATAAAGAATGGGATGGCCAGGAAGGCAGTCAGAAGATCTGATATGGCAAGACTGACCAGGAAGTAGTTAGTGAATGATCTGAGAGAACGTTTCTTGACGAACAAACCAACGATTGTTCCGTTGASAATAACAATGATTACTGCCAGTATCAGTAAGGGTAACTGAGTTTGGACATGGAATCCTGATGGAACGTGAAGCAAGTCTTCTTCAGTAAAGGTACTGTTTGTTGACGCTGAAGACGTGTTTGAAGCTGCCATGATTAGAACTAGTGAGTAATTTCTTTTCTTTATCCACAAAAATCTGTGAGTAAAAAAAAAGTGTTCCAAGACGAAGAATAAATAGCCTGCATTAATTGGATGTCATCCGGTTATTGTATTGCGAGTGGGCGCTTGCGCAGCAACCGCAGACCATGAGTACCGCAGGCTAAATACTATAGTATAAAAATATAAGGTCAAAATAAATATAATGAATAGATGAGAAAGGACTAACAATACTATCAAAACATATTGACACAGCACTAGCCCTAGGATATTATCGTCTAAAGTTCAAATATAAGAAGAAAATAAGCGAAATTACTGACGTTTTGAGTGAAAATAAATTATCAAGAGAAAATGAACTCCTTCTCTTTCTAATTATGGATTGTTGAAAATCTACCGAAGAATACTGCAATCAGTTCCCTTGTGTGTTTAATACAATAGTGATATAAAATGAAATATGTTTTAAATTTTCAAGCTTGTCGCTTAATGAAAAAGAACAAGAACAAAATACATAACAACAACCTTGAATTAAGATGAGCAGCTTGGAAATGAAATTTTGACATGTGTGCAAACTGACTTTTCATAAATCTAGCGAATATTTAATTGAGGTACTGATTTGAACACGACGTGTTATGAAAACTAAATATTAAGCTAAGACTAATATAAAAACAATTAAAAAACAAATTGAAATATTCAAACTTTTTAAAGGAATGAACTTAAAATTTAATAACTGTTAATAGGACATACGAACTTTTATTTTCCCATGTCGTTATGAAAACGTTTACTATTTCTGAACTGAAATAATTATTTTAGTAAAGATTATAATCACAAATAATTTACTTGGCTGAAGATCATTCTCATCAGATGTTTTAATTTTTTGTTTTTTTTTTAAATGTTTTATATGTTTCTTTGGATTTAAAGTAATTAAAAGTTATCAGGAAATCAGGTCAAAGATATGATGAAGGATCAATCGAAAAGATAATAAGGTTTTGGTTAATTAAACTATATTGCAAATTGGCAGAGATTCGCATCTGCTAGTAATGAAGGCTGCATGGGAAGTTCAGTTATAGTAACTAGTACTCTGACTCAACTCTTCAAAACTAACAGGACTTTCTATTTTTGATAGTTCCTTGAAGTGTTCCTTCGATTAATTTCTGAGCTTTCAAATTATTTTCTCTTTACGACTAAAAAAATGCTCGTGAATTACCATTTTAAATTTGACACTATTCAACGCTGTTATCAAACGCAGGATCCAAAAATTTAAATGGTTTTCATGGAGACGTTATATATTATCTTAAGATTGAAAGAATATTCGAATGGTATTCGTCGTACTACATTTAATTTGTAACATGCACTGTAAAGCTTCCAACTGCCGTCCAAGAGGAGACTTTTAAGACATAAAACTGAAGTATTAAGGATATTCTTAAATGTCAAAACAACTCTTTTGAGAACTAAAAATGTATTATGAGATATTACAGTAAGCTGGATAATTTGTTATACTGATCGGGGCAAAACAATCGTGTGAAAGGCACTTTTTGATAGATCGAAGGAACACACATGGATATCATACCTTACCCAGCGTAAATCGTTTCCAAACTCTCCTATGTATGAAAATCTAGGACATGAGCATCAGATGCAAGCCGCTTTATATGAGCTAAAAAAATTCAATTTTTGGCCAACCTTTTCTCGTTCCAAGTTCAGGAAACGACATGGAATGTACTTATAAATGGAATAAGAACAATTAAGAGTAGTATAAATATCTTACGGGCTTTCCTGAAGACTAGTGAACAGCAGTTTTCATACGCAAATATTTTAAGAGGAATGACGAGGTCTGTTTAACCAATGAGAACATAGATCATAGCTTAGCCAATCAGCAGAGAACATGGCTTTTGTAAGTGACAAGTCTTTGGCAGCTACAAACGATTTGTCTTGTTGCTCTGTTTTTAGGAAACAGATTGAGACAGTTCTAGAAAACTTGAGCTGATGAAGAAACAAAAGGAAAACCTTCTCCTTCAAAAACCGAATTTTACAAAAACTTCATTTTTTCTCGCGCGCTGATTGGTTATTTTAAAAATGATAATTGGTTGATTTGATCACTAAAAGCGATTAGTTTTTATCGTTTTTGTTACAGTAAAAACCAATTTTACATCAGTTTTTTATGTGCTTGTCCTCTTATTACTTTAACGATGAATTTCGTATAGTATAATATGTGTAGTAAACACTCACAGAGTGTAACTAAATGTGACGAAAAGAGACTGTGAGTGTTTAAGCGAATTTTACGGGAAAAAAACAAGGTAAGAATTTTAATACCAATTCATTTTGCATTCTTGGGATTCCGAGGGGACACTACCACTGTCATATCATATCCAGGAAGCTAAATTTCGATCTTCGAAAAATATTTGCGTTCCTTTTTATTGGGGTGTTTTTAGACGATTTTAAGTCTTAAATTGAAACGGTGTATGAAAAAGCTGAAGAACAAAAACATAAAAATCGTAGTTCAAAACTCCCAACTTCAAGCACTATTTCAACGGCCGAAGTCAGCCATAAAGCCACAAAAAGCCCATCTCCCAATCCACGAACTGAGAGTCTGGGAAGCCTGTGGACAGATACATAAAAAAGCTGATGTATAAATTTGTTAATTTTCAGTTTTTTGAGTTAATTTCCCACGTTCAGAACATCAATAAAGATGTTAGAGTATATTATGTGTTGAGTTAAGAAGAAGTGCTCAAAATTTATTTAAAAGAATTCTTCAAAATTCTTTTCATCTTTTTTTTTTCGTGGTTGTTTCTCATAATACATCTTTAAATGTATCCTTTGATCAGCATACGATTCGTTTCTACTGGCGGCTAATGGTTCCGGTACTACCCCGAGTAGACAAGTTGGATTTATTCTTCTCTTGAAAACTGATGTTATCAATATWTTGTTTTTGTTTTCAAGGATAACTTCCACTTATACCATTTAAACCTGTTTTTTTTTCCATTCAGGGTCAATCACGCAAAAGTGATCCAAATTCAGATGTGACCAAAATATTCCTTTTGTTTGAAAGATCATCTATACCTTTAAATAAACCTGGTTTTTTAAGTCAGAGTGAGCAAGTTTTTATAACCCGTACACGTTTATTCCGGTTCGGTGACATACACGGTGTAAAACAGGTGCTCAGAAAGTGCTTTTTATGTCGCATATAATGCATGTCGACAATATAATCTATTAAACCCAAATGATATTTATTATCCGTCAGCATAACCCCAAAAAAAGAAAGAAAAGAAAGAAAGAAAGAAAGATAATAATAATAATAATAATAATAAAGAAAGAATAAAAGAAAAAAGAAAAGAAAAGAAGAAGAAAAATAACCAATATACAGTGTTTACTTTATTAATAACATCCGGCTTTTTCTCTTCGTACACTCAAGACACATCATTTCCTCACTTTATTATAGATGCAGTATAACCAATATTTTTTTCGCCAAAATATATTACTTGTGGCAGATAGGGCTAACAAATACTTGTTTTTCCTTAAAATGGCTAATATTTTATGTTTTGTTGACATTCAGCTAATGGAAATTATAGCTGAGAACTTGTCGTCGTTCACCTCGTAAGACCCCAAAAATCCGAAGTCTCGATTCTACAGTTATCAGTAAATTCAGAGGAAACATCGACTAGGTACATTTAGTAAGCTATAATACCATAATCCTGGCTTTCAAGAAGATCACTCCATTCTTTACCCATTCAGTTTGAAAAACGCAATTACCGCTCCGTAAGGGCTGCACTCGGAAATTTGGTCCTCGTTTCGACCCAAAAACCTTAAGTAATATATAGGCACAAACTAATCACGTTTTGTTGGACGCTTTTTGTTTAAATTAGTATGGCACACGACTGAAACTCGTTGACAATGTTTTATCTACCAATTTCTAGAAAACACGTCAGTTTGTGGTCAGGAGAAATTTGCTTAAGTGTTAGCTAGTTATAGGAATCGGCAAAAACTTATTTAATATCCTGACAGGATAATTGGTGCTGATAGAAGAAAAATATAAAAAAAAGAAGAAGAAGAAGAAGAAAAAAAAAAAAAAAAAAAAAAAAAAAAAAAAATCATATGAATAATGTAGTCGCACGTATTCATTATAATAAGTAAAAAAAAGAAAGAAATTGGACTTTATTCAAAGAGCCGCTTGTATCTTATTAAATTTTTCGTACGATGAACTACGAAGGATGTATGTGTTTTTAGTATTTCGCTGTCCCTAGATTTCTAGATCAGTTCGAAAGATATGTCCTATGGTATAAGATAAGTTATAATGAAGGGTTTTTATATTATTCAATTATATACACATATGTCATATTCAAGATGTCTTAAAAGATATACTAGCAGAGTAGGATGCTTTGGAGCCGACGACTGAAGAGAAAAACGGAAGAAATCGAATATTATATGTATAGTATACACCTACTTGCAAGAACGTTGTCATACGAAAATAGAACAGTGATTTAGTGGGATAGGAATTATATTAAAAAACAAAAGAAGATCACTGAAGCTGAACTTTTTCTTTTGTCTTTTAATGTATTCCTTTCTCACTAAATTACTAAATTACTAAATTGTTCTATTCTTGTATGACAACCTTCTTGCAAGTAGGTGTATAATATTGCAATAATACTAGTTTATTAACAATATATATCATGGAAATTTTACAATTGAAAAACGATATATTTACAGCATAATTATCTAAATCATATAAAAAAAAAATTAAAACAATGATTAAAGTAAGTGACGACAATAATAATTAAACGCAGAAGAAAAAGAAAGGGGTAGTCTGGACAAGCGATTAAAGGCCGTTATTCTTATAAATCACGGATGTTATAAATGAATGTTATCACACGGCATCATCAGAAGGAGCGGCGTGGCGCGTTTATGAGATAGAAGTGAAAGAAGATAAATGACACAGGGATTATAGGCTGGTGTGAACAGCGAACTAATTAAATAGCAGAGTGAATCATGACGAATGGAAAATGAGTTTAGTCCCGAAGATAAAAGAGCTGATGAATAATAAGAATGAGA